CCTCCCCTCTCACACATGCAAGTGCACCCACGTATGAATGAGGGAGAGAAAGAATTATTCTCTTCTGAAATAATGAAAAAGCTCCCATTTAAGAAGAGGGGAAGAACACCACAGTCTGGGTTCAAAAAGTCTTCCCAGCTACCCCTGGTTATCTAGAAGAGCACATGAATGAAGTAAGAAATAAAAGCTGACAATCTACATAGTCACTTTAATTACTCTGGTGTTTACAAGTTCAGAAGATGCAAAACAAAATCCAAATGTTGAAGAGCATTAGAAAGAAATACAGTCCTGCTGGGCACAGTGGCTCACACCTGTCATCCCAGCACTTTGGAAGGTTGAGGCAAGGGAACTCCCTGAATCGAAGGGTTTGAGACCAGCCTGGGGGACATGGAAAGATCATCTCCACAATAAATCAAAAAATTAGTCAGGTGTGGTGGCACACACCTGTAGTTCCAGCTACTCAGGAGGCTAAGACGGAAGGATCGCCTGAACCCAGCAGGTCAAGGCTGCGGTGGCCATGAACATGCCACTACACTCCAGCCTGGGCGACAGTGAGACAACGACTCAAAAAAAAAAACAACAAACAAACACACACACTCTGGGAAGGACACCTGAGACCACAGCTGTCACTGAAGAGGGACTATGGAGGCACACATACACTATTCTATGCTCTTACTTTTTCAAGAGATGGGGTGGGGGGAGCACTCTACTACGGTGCTGGAGCGCGCTGACTATCACAGGCGTGATTACAGGGCGCTACAGCCTAGACCTCCTGGGCTCAAGTGATCCTCCTGCCTCAGCCCTCAAGTATCTGAGACAGCAGGCAAGAGCCACCATACCTGGCTAGTAACACACTTTCTGAAGGCAAAAGCAGTCAGAAATATGCACATCTACTAAAAAGGAATGCTTAAAAATGGAAACAGAATTGCCCTTTGACAGAAAAATGGACTTCAAAGAATAGAAAAAGCAAAGACAAGAATAGTCTTGTCTTAAATGATGAAAATTAAACTGCCCAAGAGTTTTACTTAAATATTTAACTGTGATGACCATAAAAGTGCAAAACACTTTTTATACATAAATATTAGGAAAAAAATAATAGGACATTTCTTTTTTAGGTCATTCATAAATATTAACAATTTGAGAATCTTGGCATATCTCTCTCTAAAGTGTCATAATTAAATGCAACAGTTCAGAAGTATGCTTTGCCAACCTAAAAAAAAATTCCTATTTCTAATTGTTAAAACAGTGAATTTTACAGAAAGCTCTTTCTAGATCCACCATAAAGTTCATCTTAAATATGAATATGAGGCATCACTTTTTCAGACTTCCTGTAGGTGAGTCATCATCCTTGAATTTGTTTATGACAGAACTTACCAAGTCATGTTTTTGTGGTTCTTAATAAACCAATGAGTTCTAGTTTCAAATATTTTATTTGTAACTTTTGCAGCTATGTTTATAAATGGGATTTACATACACTTTTCTTTTACTATCCTTGTTCGACCATGGTATACAATGGGTTTTTAAGTTTTCTTTAAGTGTTAAGAAGACTAAGGGTTAGGATTGGGTTTTTCTAATTCTTTGCTATTAAAAACAATACTAAACGAACATCGGGAATCTATGCCGATATTCGTGATTTTCCTTAGGATGAAAGATCAGGAGTATGATGACAAGGTCAGAGCTGCCCCAGGGAAGCCCTGGGTTTACGCTTACAGAAATCAGCAGTTCCGCATTCCCGCCCGCTTACGTGTACTGGGCATTACACAACTGCTGCCTTCTCCACCACGCCCCCTGCTCCCACTTTCCAGAACCCACCTCCAGTTTCAACTGTGCTTACTGTGGACACTGTGTAGTCAGAGCCCTGGCTCCTGAAGTCTGAGTCAGAATGGCACCTGCCATTCTGATTCTATGACTGAGCTGTTTCCCATGGCTCCGTCGCAGAAAGGCCGAGATGAAACGGCTTCATGGCACTTGTAACAGGTCTGTAACTACAGCTTCTAAACCTTCGGAGGCCGCAGGAGTGGCTGAGGGAGAAGGCAGGAAGGATGTAAAACCAGGTCTATGTCCCCCCGAGCTGGGACCCCACACTAGTGTCAGAGTTGAAGGTGGACCAGAGGCAGTTGTCTGCGCTGGCCATTTCCTAAAAGTAATTTACACTTCGTGTTCTTCATTAATTTAACATATTTGAACTGTTAAGTTTATATGACCTTACAGGTCTCTGAGTAACACCTTACTTGCTGTTTTAAGCTGACGCATTCACACCGAGTCCATTCTGGGTTACACCGTAAGACTTTTGTTTCAACTGTGCTTGAGTTTCACACACCGCAGAGCTGTCCACACCACTCCCCGACTCCTCCACACTAAGCTCTGAGTCCCCACTGCATGCCTTATGCTTCAGAACGTCTGGGAGGTAAGATATGACTCATCGCCCGACGCCATGTAACTGAAATACAAACTTTAAGCTGGGCTCGGTGGCTCAGCCTGTAATCCAGCACCTTGGGAGGCTGAGGTGAGTGGATTGCCTGAGCCCGAGGGTTCGAGACCCGCCTGGAGAATGAGACTCCAACTCAAAAACAAAAAAAGAAAAAGAAAAACAAACTTTATACAACAGATGGCACCAAGCCACCCAGGCCAGAAGCCAAAGCTTCTCGAGACACAATAATCAATATGAACAAATTGCCACTTCTGTAACATGACCCTCCCCCCATCACACAGGCTGCCCTGAGCCTCAAGGCACTTTTCACAGTGAGAAACAAGACAGTGGATGGCCAAGCCCTGACCTTCACTAACCAAGTAAGGGCAGATACAGCTGTTTTTAACGACGAAGCAGTCCTGGAAGGAAGCGTGGTGTCCACAGCAGGCTTGAGCAGGATGGGGACCCTGCATGAGTTGGTCTCCCTCAAGCCGGTGGAGAAAGCCTCGCTGCAAGGGAACTGGAACCCTCGAGGAAGCTGTCACAAACATGCCCCTCTCTGCCTGCGTCACATAGCTCCTTCTGATGGGTGACAACCTACCAGCTGGTCTCCCTGCCTCCGTTCTTGACAGCCTCACGATTGGTTTCCTCACTGCAGCCACATGGATCTGACTTCTAAGCCTTCTGGACTCACCCTCCGTGACCCCACATTCCCCAGGTGCCCCAAAGTGAAGTGTGCCCCCCCCACTCCCCCGGCAAGCTAGGCTCCATCCCCCCTCACAGATCCACCCCTTTACTTTAACTCTTGAGACCCTTCAATATCATACCAGCCTCCGCAGCCTCCATGCCTCTCTTGATCAGCACCTCATTCTCCCACGGGCCTCCGCGTGGGCACCAGCACTCCTCCAGGGGGAGACTCCCCGCAGGCCCCCCTCCCATTCCGCAAAGCCCGCAGGCACACCCCATGGAACCACCTTTCAAAGGCAGCCTCCCTTCCTAGGAAGCAGGCAGTTTCGGCCAGCCTGTGTGGCACTCCTGTGAGGAAAGCGCGGGGTCTGGAGCAGGCACCCAACGCCGCCTGCTGCTCCGCACAAGGAACAGCTAAATTCAGTGGCCCCCTCAGCCGCCACCGCCATCCTGTCCACTCACTCATGCTAACACAGCTCCAGCCCGGCCTGCATGGCCTCCCAGTTACATCCCTGCGGCCCCCAGCCCCCCCCCCCACACCACTGTCCCCACAGCTGGTCTCCAGTGGCAACAATGACCTCTGGAAAATGTACATCTTTAAAATCCTTTAAAAATGGATCTTTAACAAATCCTTATTTGCTTCCAGTGATATTCAGACCAACATCCCGACCACCACGGTCCCCTACGAGGCCAACACAAGCACCCCCCGAGTGCTGTGCCCCAGCCCACCGGCACCTTCCCATCTCCAAGCACAAGGCGTGTTCACGCCCCAGGTCCACATGCTGCCTCTCTCCTGCAACTTGGGTCACAACCAAGCCACCTCTGTCCTATCCCCATGCATGTCTTCTTGGCACTCACTCCTATCTCAAACACTGTGGGTGCTCGTACCTGCCCACTGTACACATGAGCCCCCGGAAGGGGGAGCCCCATGTGGTGCCCATAACATACCCTGTCTGTGTTTTAGAACAGCACCCACACGCAGCAGGCACTCAACACGTATCTGCAAAACCAAAGAATAAACCAAGCAAACCAACTCTTATTTAAGATACACAAGATCCAAGTGAGGTGAAAAAAACGGGAAGTCTAACAACTAGGCAGGACACTCCCTGCTGTCAGGTCCTGCAAGCACATAGGCTACTACTCCTAGGTTCTGTCACCAATGCCACTGGGGGTGGACTCCCCAAAGCTCACTCCAGCAGTCTGATGGGCCCACACCCGGAATGCCAGCCCACATTACAATGCCGCAAATAGAGAATTCTACTTTTTAAACGTCCTCCTAAAATCTGTGATGTACCAAAAAGTAGTAAACATTTAAAAACCACCTGTCATTTTATTAAAAAAAATTACCCTGACAGCGGTACATCTGTCAAGGATTACATTTACACTCAGAAAACTCCAACCTTCTAAGTAAAACAGGTCCTTCCAAGATGAGAAGTCCTCAGAACAGGTTCTAATGACTCCCTGCCAGCTCGGGAAGCTGCCCCACACAGGTGTGTTCTTCTGAGTTTTGCAACTCACAAAAACTACTCAAACTTCATTTAAAAAGTGAGCCTCTCGCTCCTTACTGACAGAAGCTTGGACCAAGGAGGGGGGAACTGCCAGTCACTCCTACGTGAGTGACAGAAAAAGCTCTGCTTGTTTAACCCCACGGCATCCAATCGCACATGCGGACACCACACGCACCGGGCACCAAAAATCCAACTACAGCTGCGCATCCCATCTCACTACCTTAAACCTTCTCGCTGCTCAAGAAAACGGGCGTAAAACACACACGCGAACAGGAAGACAGAATGCATCACCATGGTGGGCAGCCACGTTCCAATCATGGTGGCTCACGGGCAACTCGAAGGAACATCCCCTCCCTGCAGCCCCGGGGTCCCCGCAAGGCCCGCCGGGCCCTCACCTGGGGATGGTGACACACTTGGTGTTGCAGCTCTGCGTGGTGATGGCCTTCTCCAGCTCGTCCAGCCGGCCGGTCTTCTTGAGCTTTTTCACCAGGCTCTTGACGGCCTTCTCACACCACTTCTCCTCTGGCCCGTTCTGCTCCCCGCCGCCCGCGCCACCCGCCCCGCTGGCTGACTTCTTCCAGCCCAGCAGGCGCTTCACCACTGGCGGCGTGAACGGCAGGATGGACGACATGCTCTCCCCAAGGCCAAGGCTGCGCCGAGAGGACCGTGCCTGCGTTGACCCTGGAAACGAGGAAGGACCAGAGACCACCCTTAGCGTCCAGCAGTGATGCCAGCACACCCCACAAAGCAGACACAGTATGGACAGAGAGCGAACGATCACACTCCCTGCAGCCCTGCCCGGCACTCTCCACCGGGAAAAGGGCATCGTGACTGACTGAAACGAATTATGGAAACAAGCCCTTTAAAAGCAAGATGTTAAAGGACTCCAGTCTTGTGGGCAAATATAATGATTCTACAGGTAAAGCACGTATCAACACCTAACATTTTTCCACTACCAATCCTCCTTAATTTCTCATTCTTAAGTGTCAATAATTAAAATACTGTAACACACAAAAAGGTCTTCTCTCTTGTTACAACTCCAATCTGTTCTCAAAAGAAAACAAAAATATGTGAAAAACTGATAAGCCCACACTGCCCAGTTTTAAACTCACATCTGGCTGAGTAAGTCCCCTACAGCAAAATCTCAAGTTCCAAGAAGGGAACTATATCAAGTGCATGTCCACAAGAATAAAGAAATAAGGTAGACAGAGGCTGTGGGGAAAAGGCTAAGAGGATGTCTTCTTTTTTTTTATTTTTTATTTTTTGAGTTGGAGTCTTTGTCGCCCAGGTTGGAGTGCAGTGGCACACTCACGGCCACCGCAGCCTCGACCTGCTGGCCTCCAGCGATCCTTCCACCTCAGCCTTCCGAGTAGCCGGAACTACAGAAGCACACTACCACGCCCGGGTAATTTTTTGATTTCTGGTGGAGATGAGGTCTCATCAAGTTGCCCAGACTGGTCTCGAACCCGCAAGCTCAATCAATCCACTCACCTTGGCCTCCTAAAGTGCCGGGATTATAAGCTGAGCCACTGAGTCCTGCCTTCTTTTTAACTTGTATTTTCATTTGTGCCCAAACACCAAAGTGCACGGTGAGCAAAGTCACTCACAGCTTCTCCTTCCACGGCAGGTGCAATTCCCAATGCTTTCTTCACTGTGACTCTCTCAGGGCGTTTATACCCAGGTAGCAGGTTTCTAAGTTCACCCTGGAAATGTCGAGTCCAGGCACCACCTACCAGTTACCCAGAAGATGAGGACTGCGTTCCCTCACACTTCCCTTTCCCTCCAACCAACTGAAATTGCATGATCACGTACAACCCTCACGACCCGCGGGCATCAGAAGCGTACCACTTCCACTCCTCCCCTCTGCAGACACGTTTCTTTTGGTGCAACCTTGCTTTCCTCAAGGTTCATTGTCTCACTTTCTAGCCTGCTTACTACAGATTCTCCCCACTCTCCACCAGCCCTCCGTTAACCTCCCACAAGGTCAGCGCCTCGGAAGCCAACGGGCTCTCTTCTGTTCCCCAAGCCCTGGAACTCCAAGGCCCATGTCCGCCAGCCCCAACCTGCACCAAGAGCAGCGTGCCCTGACCAGCACCACCGCACCCTAGAACTGCGCCTCCCACTTCGAGCAGCTCATCTTCCTCCTTCTCAGTTCAGTGAATCTGTGACTTCATGGGAGTCTGTCACTGCTGAGAAAGACCAGAGACCGCTGTTGACCTCTTTACTTGGCCTGACTGACTTTGCACAGAAGACTGTTGGAAAACATGTTTACATACAATGTTGTTTATTTTCTCAAACAGCTTTGTTTATTCTACTTATTAAAATAATTAAAATGTGTTCTGTCATAATTTTTCTTAAACAAAAAAGCAAATCCCAGCTTTCCATTTTACATCTGTGCAATTTAGCATCCCTGTATTAGAAGGGAAGAGTTTGTCTTTCCTAATCACTGTCAGCCCTTGGAATCATCTAGAAACCCAGTCAATAGCTGTACTGGCCTGCCTGATTAAAAAAATTTTCCCTTTATAGCTGGTCTGAGCCCTAAACAGGTCTACACACTCCACCTGGGCACCGTGTCCCTCAAATCCTTTTCATCTAGATTGCTCCCTCATGAAACTGAGAAAAAAGCAAAACCAGCTGCTCCCTGCCGCCCTCACATTCCAGAACTGCCCATCTACCTTGCAGAGCCACTCACTCCTCTATCAGAGGAGGCCAGCTCCAACATACGCATGCCAAGCAACTCCACACCTGACAACAAACACAGTGTGGCCCACATCACAAAGCATGCCAGGAGGCCCACCGTGGTGGCTACCACCCCGGCAGAGCTCAGACGGACCAGTGGGGGAAAGATGAGTTTGGGTCCACTTCTCCCAGTTGCCCTCCCTGCAGTACTTTCGTCCATGAAGGTCTCCTGCCTGACTCTGCTTTGGTATGACATCAGGCCTGCTTCCTAATTCCAGTCCAGTCACACCTATTTGCTGCCGTTCTTTCTCAAAAAACTTCTTCTCATCAACTAGTGCTAGGCGTTGACCCTAAAATATAATGCATTCAAGCAAAGTCAGGTTAGATGCTGACAACACTAATTTTAGTTGTTATTCTTCAGAGAAGTCAGTGCTTTCATCCCAGTGATATTTCATAAGGTTTAGGGAGGTAGGGATATATCAGAGGAGCTGGTAAGGTTTTACATTCAATATGTTTCTATCAGCCGTGGCACAGTTTTTACACCATTCTTTCTAGATAAGCACATCTCCGGCCCATGGGTGTTTCTTCAATCTGGTCCTGTTGGCATGACCCTGTGGCCCAACAGTATCCAAGTTTCCTAGTACTCCAAAACATAGCCAGCTCGTCCTGTACATACCTCCTCCCAGACCTCCACAGTGACTACTCCCAAGAGCTGTGCTGCGCCTTAGTGAAGGCAGTTACAAGGAACCACAATCTGGTGGTGGGTGCGCAGGACTCAGAGGGTTTTGTAGCTTCATGGTTTTTTCAGGGGCAGAGCTGGGATATATATACTTGACCTTGAACAACACAGAGCTTGGACTCCGTGGGTCCACTTATATGTGGACTTTTTCCAACCAAGAGCAGATGGAAAATACAGTATCTGCATGATGCAAAACCCACATATATGGAGGCCGGCTTTTTGTACATGTGGGTTCCACAGGGCCGATGAAGGGAATTGAGTATGTGAGGATTTGGGAACACTCACGGTCCTGGTACCGACCTGCATCTACTCAGAGGAACAACCGAGAGTCTCTGAAGAAGAAAGATGACATAGCCTTCATCAAGGCATTCTTAACTCAGGGATCTACTTTACGTCTGCATTCATTTCTTGAGGTTGCTGTAATGAGTCACTGCAAACGTGCTGACGTGAACAACAGCAGCTTATTCTCCCGGTGCTGGGGCCAGAAATCCAGATCAGAGCAGTGGCGGGGCCACGCTCCCTCCAAGAGCTCCAGGAGAAGGTGTCCTGCCTGCCTGCGGGCAGCACCACTGCAGCTTCTGCCTCCACCATCACAGCACCGTCTCTCTCCTCTCTTCTGTGTCTGGTGTAAGAACACTTTGTCACTGAGCTTAGCCCCCCACCAGGTGACCCAGGATGATCTCATTACAAGACCCTAATTACATCCACAAAGACCCTTTTGCCACATAAAAGCACATTTGCAGGTGCTAGGTACTGGGGCATGGGCTGACCCTTTGGGGAGGCTACCATCCAGCCCACGTCCATAACTTATCCCTGTTTCCTCTTCTCCAATACTGAAAACCAAGGTTCTGCACAAACAAGTACAGTCACATACTTACACTGCCTGGCAACATGCAGAAATGGCTTCAAACAACATCAACACTGCCTCTACCCTGAAGATCACAGGGTAAACATAAGGCTTCGCTGCAGCACTACCTGTCCACTAACAGCAGACAATTGAAGCATTGTGCTGCTGAGTCACCTGCAGTAACGGCTTCCTCTGTCTGCATGGCTGTCACCAACTTGGGATATGATTAAGTCCATTCATTGCCTTTAATTTTCATGGATTTTTCATTTTTCATTTGGAGTAGGTAAAGCATTTATTATAAAAAGACTCCAAAGACAAGCTACATACTCAGAAGCCTCATCTGTCTGTCCACCCGATGGCTTATTGCCCCTTCAGAATCCACTGCTGTTTTGTCTACTCAGTGTCGTCTTCAAGATACAGGCCAGTATACAGACATCCAGCCACGTTTCCATCTGACTCCTCCTACACAGGAGTACCATGTTATATATACTGTTGTACACCTTGATTTTTTTCACTTAGCTTTATTTCCTACAAGTCACTCCTTATCAGTTCACACAAAATTTAGAAAGCATTGTCCCTTGGTTTTCTAAAATCCACTATTGATACTGAGAAGCCCAATGTAACTTTTATTCCTGATCTTTTAATTAGAATTTTAAAACTTTTCTCTCTAGAAACTTTTAATATTTTCTACACTATCTGTGGTTCTGAAATGTCATCATGTTGTAAGGGGTCACGCATCTTCTTTTCTCTTCTTCATCTACTGAGTCACCTCTCCTCCACTGTCACTTCTTCACCCACTCATTTGGAGCTCATGCTTGTCCTTCCTTTACCTTTATTTTAGTGAGATACGGGGGAAAATAAATACATGTATTCAATCTGCCATAGTTAATAAAGTCCCCAGGGGCATCCTATTTTAGAAAGTAAAGGTCTGTAGTCTTCACATGTACAACAATTAGATCAAGCCTGTTAGTGCACACACGTCCTATATGCCTGTTCCCACCATGATCCTGTATTTATCTATTTCTTTTAACTTAAAAAATTCTGGCTTACAGATGTTCAAGCTATGTTACTGGGTACAGAGCAAGGACTGTGATAACATTGGTGGATCCATCCTCTTATACTATAACATGTACTTATCTTTTCCTACTAATGCGAGCGTACTAAAGTCTACTTTGTTAGATTAGTACGACCATAACTGCTTTCTTTTGCTCAGCATTTCAGTGGTGTATCCTTTCTCATGATTTTCTCTCAGCCTTTCTGAGTACTTGCATTTAAGGTGCATCTCTTGTAAGAAGCAAATAGTAGGGGGATTAGTATTATTTGTCCACGCTGACGGTTTTTGCAATTGACTTGGAATATTCAGCCCATTTCTATTTAATGTAATCACAAACTTGGGTGTCTGCCTGTTTTATGATA